GATGATGATGATGATGATGATGATGATGATGATGATGATGATGATGATGATGAAAGAAAAAAGAAGGAGACACACTGGCTGATTAAATAGAATGGATCAGAAAGACGGAGAAAGAAAAAGAAAGTTGGTTTTATAAATGTAATACAATAAAGAGGAGATATGTTTCTACAGTCTGTAATCTTTTCAAAGCTAGTTCGATGTTGTCCAGTTCGTACAGCCGGGATTTTGCTGGTACACGTAGATCTAGATCTAGAACATTTTGGTGGGGCCAACTGTTGTATCACTTTTTAAAGATTGAAACCATATACTCGTCAGACTTCTTTAAGTTTTAAACGAAGGTAGCATTCAATATTCTTAGGAGCACGAAGAAAGCTGGATTTTCATTAATTTGAGTTTACGAATTTTTTAAACTGTAAGTTTTGATTGCAATTTATAGTTATGAAATCTCTGGAGGCAAGCCAGGCTTCTACAACTGTATATTCCCATGTCATTATCACTTTCGTTTTCTCCATTGACCTCAGAACAAAAGGCTATTGATGTTTTCGAAGTAAGTCTAAGGCATGATAGCAATTGTTAAGCGTGGTAGCAAAACTCTCCTTACGGTTCTTTCTTTAGAAGATCTTGAGGATGTAGGCCCAGGAAACACCAATAGCTCGCTCCAAAGACATGTACAAGAAAAGAAAAAAAGCAAACTCTTTTTAAGTGTATTGTCGTCAGGCCTACTGTTTCCAATTCTACCTAGACTTGGTCTGCTTGGGACAGCGTCAGTGGTGTAGATTTAATTTATGGGGCATCGCGGTGAAATCAGGCGCTCGTCAAAATAATGAAATCGAAGAAAACAGCATTTTCCAGCCGGTTTGGCATTTTTTAAATTAAAAAAATATTTTTTTGTTTTTTGCTTAACACCTTTTATGTCTATGTAAAAACAAATATGTCTGGATTTTATTGAACAACGTTGGTCAAAGGCACACAAAATGAAATGTTCATTTCCCAAGGACTTCAAGTTAAGGAAATAACCAAACGTTGATTGCCATTTTCTCGATAAATTTACCTCTGAAATCAGGTGACCTCCACTTTCTTCAATCAGAAATACCTCGACTTCTATTCAAGATAGATGGGTATTTTCACATCGAATGCAAGAGAAATAAATAGGCTTTAAGAAGATACAATTGCCCAAAAATTGACGAGCGCCTGATTCCATGTGTTGAGACATATTTGATTCGCTGTTTCTACAGACTACTATAAATCAGCTCGTTAACATTATCATTTCGTACATAAGAATTTTTTGTAGAAGGGTACCATGTTCCCAAGGGCTCTACGAGTGCTTCTGTGAGAGCTGGGTTTTTTTTTGGGGGGGTGAGGGGAGGGGAGCAAAGATGCAGGTATAGAATGTGTCTCTGTGTGTATGTGTGTGGGAGGGCAGCCGGGGGTGTGGGGTGTGAGAGGAAGACCAAGGGGGTTGGAGTCTGAGGTAGGGTGGGGGGAGGGGAGAGGACATCAATATAATGAATGATAACCGATCAGTTTCACAAACCACGAGCTGCCCCTGCATATCATTACATGTCTCTTCGGAAGTCGACCCCTTTCTAAAAAAATCAAATCAGTGCTAAAAGGCATTGATTTCCGACCAGATTTAATCCATTAAATTAATGGATCATTACCGACAATCCTAATACATGTTTTAAGAGTAAAGGTTTTTTAATTCATGCACTTCTGTGACAGGTGGCTGTATGCTGCTATTCATGTGCTCGTGTGTTTGTTTGA